GGCCCCCCCCGCCAGCCGGAGCCGTGCAGTGCCCTGCTCCCAGCCAAAATGGAAATGCTCCCAGGGGGACATTTGCATTTTGCCTGCATTTTTTCCTCTCTGGGGCTATGAAATAGAGATACGAGAAGATTTCAACTGGAGGAGCTTGTGCCAAACTGAAGGCACCGTGGGGCAGGGAGAATGGCTGCGCTTGGACAAATCCCACAGCAATAACGTGCCATGGGCGATTCCACAAACCCCCCGTTTCCTGCAGCCAGCGAGCAGGCTTTTTTTGCTTTGAAAGTAGCATCTCAAAGAGATCACTCCTGTGCTTGTCAATGGTTTGGCCGATTGCAACACTATTTCAGACAACACAGAGGATATTAGAACTTGTCAGCTATTCCTTGATCTTTTTTTTTTTTCCTCAGCTTGAAATGTGAATTTTTTAAAGCCCAGAGGATTTCACAGGACTCTCTTCATTATGACAAAATGAGCATGGATCAAGGCAAGGTTCCTTCGACTTGGCATTGCTCCTCTCTTTCTGAACTATTGATTCTAAAAGTCTTCCCCACAGTAGCAATTCCCCAGTCCAGCATTTTCTAGCTCATGCTCAGAGTCTGAAAATCTAAAAAAAAAAAAAAATAATTCCAGAACCAAAACAGACCTCCAGGTTCATCTGGCTGGATATATTTTTCAGGAGGCTCCTAGGAATTTTCTAATATCTCTCCATTTCCCTTATACTTCTCCAGCCTCACTCATGACCTGTATGAGTTAGAATCCAGAGATTTTTAAATTAAAACCCCCAGGGAAATGAGGCGGATTTTTTTTTTTTTTGCATTATACACATATATATAATGGATATTTATAAACTACAGATTATTTATGTGTATATTTAAAAGGTCAACCGTGTGCATTATGCACAACAGTGTGTGTACATATATATATATATGTATGAATGTATGTGCATACATGCAACACTGTGAGTAAAGAGAGTCTCAATATTTTTAGCTGGTCTAAGTGAAAAAAATACTGGAGGTGACCTAGGATGGCAGTAAAGGCTTGTAATCATTACCCTCTTCTGCAGGTTTTATAGGCTTACCTGCAGAAACCTTCCAGCTTTGGAGAAAATCCTGACACATCCTTTTTCCACTAAGCCTGGTAAATTCAACAGTGCTCTTCATCATGGGATGTTTTCTATCTAGTTAGAGTGTGTGTGTGTGTGTGAAACACCTGCAGATTACAGTATGATTTTCTCCAAACAACCCTAATTTAAAACTAAAGGGCCTGTGTGAAACCAATCAAGGAAAGAAAAAAAAGTGAGGTGGATAACAGATGGTCCCACAGTCAGGGGAAGCTCTCTGAAATGAGCTCAGACTAAGCTATTAGAGGCTTCCCTAACAAATAGGACAAAATAGCCGCTGCTAAATGCTGGAATCGTTGTCAAATGTGCAAATCTGCCTGGAAGAGAGACAGTGTTTCTACCGAAAGCAAGACTGTAGAAAGTACAACCTCCTCATTCTGCATATTTATTAAAGGTGACTTTATGGAAAGCATGCATTGCTGTTCACTTAAGTGCCGATAATGAACTTTTATAACATACTTATCTTTGTCCTGTCAGCCCAATACAGGTGTGAAACCAAGAAATGCTTGGTTTATCCTGCTTACCAGGAGGTCAGAAAACCTGGCTGCAACAATCTTAGTTGTGTCCCTGTATTCACACCTCATCTAAAGGTCGATAAAGGCCCTGATCCAGCAGAGCCCACAAAATGCAGGCTTCGCTTCAGGCAGGCCTTGATTTATCGTTGTGGTGACTTCAATCAATGGGAAGAGACAGGCGCCGACGGTGCGTGCGGCCGCGCATCTGGGCGCAGCCTGCCAAATTCTGGATGTTCTGACATCCGTGTGGGTCACCCTTGGGAGAGCACCGGGCTGTGGATGCAGCGACGACTCACTGGGCTGGAGGATGAACCGGCAGATTTTGAGCCAGGTTTGTAGTCGCTGCTTTCCCCTTCTGCAAATGCAGAACAGAGTCAGCGCAACATGCCAAGTTTTGAATTCTTCTCTTGTTGCGTTTTTTTACCAGTTTTGTAAGGATGCGAGGTTAACGTGGCCATGTTCTATACATCGCTGCTTTACCTTTGTCCCCAATATGCCAGAGGCAGGGCTTGAATTTAAAGTTGACAAATCATCCTGGCTTGTATCAGGAATAGCGTGGCCAGCAGGAGCAGGGAAGTGATCGTGCCCCTGTACTCGGCACTGGTGAGGCCACACCTTGAGTACTGTGTTCAGTTTTGGGCCCCTCACTACAAGACAGATGTTGCGTTGCTGGAACATGTCCAGAGGAGAGCCACAAAGCTGGTGAGGGGTCTGGAGCACAAGTCTGAAGA